GATTCTGAGAGTCTGAGGGTCTGAGATTCTTGTCTGAGAGTCTGAGGGTCTGAGATTCTTGTCTGAGAGTCTGAGGGTCTGAGATTCTGGTCTGAGTGTCTGAGGTTCTGAGATTCTGAGGTTCTGAGATTCTGAGGGTCTGAGGGTCTGAGAGACTGAGGGTCTGAGAGTCTGAGATTCTGAGAGTCTGAGGGTCTAAGAGTCTGAGACTCTGAGGGTCTGAGGGTCTGACATGAAGAAGACCAACCTGCTGCTGTTTGACACCCTAAACACCACAGGTTAGGACTCCATCCTGTCCATCAGGATCCATGTGGACCATCAGGACCCACATGGATCATGTTTTGGTTGAGTGTTCTGAACTTCAGTAGTTCTTCTGCAGCTGCAGGATCCTGACCTGAAGTCAAAACTTTGTTTTCCAGCTTCAGACGTAAAACCTGAAACTGTATCTGAGACGAGTCTAACAGAGGAGGAGCTGGAGGCCATGCATTAAGACTTTTGCACAGTACACTCTAACATTTGGACACTCTGTGAGCTTCAGTTTGTTGTTGGTTAAACACCAGTGGTGGGCACCAGCCCGCTAAAGCGCAAATCCGCTAATTGCGGACCTAAATATTTTGTTTGCGCTTTAGAGGTCTTACTAATTTTTATAATTCATAAGCAGATTTACTCTTTCTAAATTTAAAATACAGTTCTGCTAATAACTAATTATCTACCAGTCATCGTTATCTTTAACAGCAGAAGGTACGGCTGTCATGAGTCACAACACGTGATCTAACAGCACCCCTCCCACATAAACACTATATTTGGGCAGGTATACGTCCTGCTGACTGTTGCTTTGGGTCACGGTTCTCATTTTACAGACATTTCCCACAATGCTTTGTGTCTGCTTACGTAGACTGGAAGACAATGGTTAACCATCATATGTGACCGGGCGACACTCCCTGTCTCACGTACAACATGTAACACACACACAACACATAACACACACACAACACATAACACACGTAGCGTCCCATGACTCATGGGACACAAGACGTAATAGCTGGTTTCAGTCACGTGGTTTCGAAGGCGGAGCTATCTCCGCTGAGGGCAGAGGGTAAAATGTCTACGGAGGAAACTACTGTAGAGAGTTTATATTGTATGGATCTAGATCCTATTTCAAGATATTTAACAACAATTTGTTCACTAACATGTCAGAAATGACTCGTATGATGAAGATGAATGAGTTTTCGACAGAACCTAAAGATTTGCTGAGGCAGTCGGGGCACCGACAGCCTGGTGATGTAAGACGTGTGTCTGACATCACCAGGTGCCAAATAATAACCAGCAAAAGTTTATCTGATGAATGATTCGACACGATTCTGCCCAACCCTATGACAGCATATGACAACATAACATTCTCACTCCCGACTCGTCAACATGTTGACACTTTTCCAAAGTTCCCTCTGCATCTTATTTTGACTCGTCAGGTGACCCCCTCGCGTCAGTCCTTGCCGCCCACGGATTTTCCGGGTTGCGCCATCAGGGGTCTTTGGGTCGGGGGTCTGAGGTTAACATGAGGGATCAGGATTAATGGTTAAGTTTAGGTACTGGGATCAGGGGTAGGATGTCTACAGCGAATATTAGTTTGGGCTTTGGAACACGTAGTTGACGTGAATTTCCTACATTTCTAGGTATCAGGGTTGATGGTTAATTTTAGGTAGGCCTACTACGGTCAGGGACAGGATGTCTAAAGTGAATAAAGGTAATTTTAGGCTTTGGGACAGTAGTTTTTCTGCATTTTCACACTTTCAGAAATTTTGACAACAGATCCGCCCCATCTCATCAAAAAATGACGTCAAAAACGACGTCAAAAACGGACGCAGAGGGAACTTTGGAAAAGCGTCAACATGTGACGACTCAGGAGTGAGAATGGGTTGGATAACACTGGTTATCACACAAAGATGAAAAATGTAGAAAGCTCACAGAACGACAACGTAAAAAGTGGATTTTAAAGCGTCTGCAGTCGGGAAGAGCAGGATGCTGGTGTCGTGCCATAAAGTGATCAGGTGCTGCAGGAGCGCACACTGTGTTTTCGACAGGAAGTGAATCTGTTTTCATTGTTTTAGTCATCGGAGCTCAGTCCACCAGTCTGCAGCTGGACTGGAGCTCCACGTTCATCACCTTTTTGTTTTTTTTGCATCAAAGACACTAAAATAACTAACCAAACTTCTCTGTAACTATGAAATATAGTTACACAAATATAATAAATGTAATAAATTTCAGATATCTCATTGCTCACTTCAGATCTCGCTGTCTCTCCATCGCTGCCGAACTTCATTCATCTTCCGCCTGTTTTTATTTTTATCCTCCTGTAGATTTTGTGCTGCTTGTCTAATATTTTCAGGCTTCAGTCAGGAAGGAGTTTGGGGGGTTTATGTTTGTTCGGCGGGGTGGGGGTGACACCAGAGGGTGGAATGAGGTGTTTTTCCCCCATGAATCAGTCCTCTTTTACATCCTCCTGCTGCAACGTGCTTCAAACATAACAAACATTAATAAAAAGAGCCATAATTTTATTTAATTTAATATATAATTGAATCAGTGTATCAGTCATATCGGTCATCCGGGAGGGACTCAGAGTAGAGCCGCTGCTCCTCCACGTCGAGAGGAGCCAGTTGAGGTGGCT